TTGCTTTTATTATGTTGAGGTATGTTCCTGTTATCCCTGATTTCTCCAGGACCTTTATCATGAAGGGATGTTGGATTTTGTCAAAGGCTTTTTCGACATCTAGTGAGATGATCATGTTATTTTTTTTCCTCAGTCTGTTTATATGGTGGATTACATTGATGGAGTTTTGTATGTTGAACCATCCTTGCATCCCTGGGATGAAGCCTACTTGATCGGGATGGATGATTTTTCTGACGTGTTCTTGGATTGGTTTTGCCAATATTTTATTGAGAATTTTTGCATCAAAGTTCATGAGGGATATTGGTCTGTAGTTCTCTTTCTTAGTTGTGTCTTCGTGTGGCTTGGGTATCAAGGTTATTGTGGCCTCATAAAAAGAGTTTGGTAATGACCCTTCTGCTTCTATTGTGTGGAATACTATGAGGAGAATTGGTATTAGCTTTATTTTGAATTTCTCGTAGAATTCAACCATGTCTGTTTCTATGCAAGTCCCATGTGGTTTTTATTCCTACAGGTCTGTAGTAGTACTACTTGAGATCAGGGATGATGATAACGTTGGCAGTTCTCTTGTTATTCAGGATTATTCTAGCTATCCTGGTTTCTTTGTGTTTCCATATTGAAAATTGTCCTTTCAATTTCTGTGAGGAATTGTGTTGGATTTCTGATGGGGATTGCTTTGAATCTGTAGATCGAGTTTGGTAGGATGGCCATTTTCATCTATTTCTACCAATCTATGAGGGTAAGTCTGCTTCTTCCACTTAAAATACAAGCAATAGCAGCAGTAGAGATTGAATAAAATCCCAAAGGGAGAACCATCAGAACAAGAAGAACCGACAAAGTGACAATTCAGGTATAAAACTGACTGGTGTCAAAGCAGAGTGAATGATGCTATATTGGTAGTTACTGTAGATTATAAAGATGATTTAATTGTATTTATCTGTGTGCTACTTACCAGAATTGGAAAATATACACTTGCAGATAATTGTATTCTGATGACTAAAATATAGATAGTTCAGGCCTTAAGCTGATGCATTTCGATGGCAGGAAATTATATTCATTTCAACATCTAATTGCTTGAAAGTGACAGATGCTGAGAAGTTACTGCAATGAAAAGGCAATGTGGGAGACAGAACCCCAATCCTGCAATTACCATAGAGCAAGTTCATTGATGGATTGATTTACTCCTTAGCACACACTTAACATTCTGTGTCCAAATATGCTCAGACAAACAATCACAGCCAAATGAAGGAAGACCTTTAAGCTTTGTTCAAGTTTAGTTTGTTAAAATATGAACTGTGGGGGCTAGAGAGATGCAAGGGTTAAGAGCACCTGCTACTTTTGGACGGGACCCGGTCAGCACCCACCCACATGGTGACTCACAAATAAATGTCTGTAACTCCAGTTCCTGTGGAATCAATGCCCTTTTTTAGCCACCTTGGACACTGCCTGCATGTGGTCACATACATACATACATGAGGGCAAAACCACACATAAAATAAAAATAAGTTAAATATTTTAAAAAATGCAAACTGTGACATCTTCCATAACTATGTTTTAGAGTGGTAGTCACCTAATTATGTTATATTAAACACCTTAAAGAATATCTCCTAAAGTCCCCTCCCCATGTGCGTGCGTGTGTGTGTGTGTGTGTGTGTGTGTGTGTGTGTGTGTGTGTGAGAGAGAGAGAGAGAGAGAGAGAGAGAGATAGAGAGAGAGAGAGAGAGAAAGAGAGAAGATCAAAGGTTGAAAACATTCATCTTCCTCAGTTGTGCTTCACCTTGTTTTTTTGAGCTAGTGTCTCACTGAACCTGAAACTTACTAATCTGGCTACACTGGCTGGTCAGTGAATCCCAAGGCATCCTCCTGTCTCTGCCTCCTTTGTGGTGGAATTACAGGCACATTCAGGGTCTGGCTTTTTTTTTTTTTAAATGTATGTTTTTCTGCTTGGGTCACCATGCTTGTACTGCAAACACTTTACCAACTGAGATATCCTTCCAGCCATTAAAGCCTTTTAACTAAAAACACCCCAACTGTTGTTCAACTTTAATGTATTGTGGAGAACATTGGTTTTGGAGTGATTGCTGTGTGCTGGGACAACCTGGGAGGGGCAAGGCTGCAGTAGCCTTTTGCCAAGACACACACACAGAGACCAGGGTGGAATTAGGGGCTTAGTCCATTGTCATATGGCAGGGCTTAGAGGTGTTTGATATTAAGCTGCCATCAAGGTTACTGGCCGGGACACTAGAGTATTTGGACAGGGAGATGGCAGAGAATTGGTAATGTGGTTCACACATTAACATCCAAATCTTAGGGGCAGAATCCAGGCTCTGGGATGACATTAAAGAGAACCACCTGCAAGCTTGTAAGAACGAGAAGGACTCAGTGGGACTACACTCTAACTCTCATGTCCTGTTTTCGTTCTTGTCTCTGGGTTTAGTATCTGCAGTTTCTGGATCAGCTTTCAGAGAAAATGAAATTGGGCGAGATTGCTGATGACCTTGGCTTTGACATGCGTCTGGATGTAGTTTTAGCTCGCACAGAGCAGCTAGTCCGCCTTGAAAGCAATGCTGTCATTGAAAACAAGACCATCGCTCACAACTTACAGAGAAAGGTAGGCATTGTTACACTTCGTAGCACTGAGAAAAGAAACTTTGGGAAGCCCAAGTGTCACAATGATTTTATTATACTGTGATCAGCATTGTGTTTAGAAGCCGAGTATTAATTCTCAGTACTGAAAATCTGCCTGTCCTTGTGGTGATCTTTATCTCCATGTTTCAAAATAGTAACTAGAACCATTTGTCTGTGTTCCATGCTGAAGGGTGGAGGAGGGGAAGAAGAGGGAAGCTGAAGATGCAAGTGATGGCTTATAAAGAAGATTCTGGAAGATGCTAGCTGAACGTTTGTTTATATCATGGCCAAACCTGGTTGCAAGAGAGACTTGGAAACACAGCCATTAAATCCCTTAGTTTCTGATGGAGGAGGGAAGTTGGGGCACCAAGTAGTGCTGGGGGAACTAGCTCTATTGAGCTAGAAAGTACAGAGAGAAGGGCTCACTTTTCATCCAATTGAAGGCAGAATTATAAATGGTTTAGAGCAAGTGAATGAATGAACGAATGGCAGAGATAAAGCGTAATTATTAGTTGTATAATTATCAGCACCAGAGAAAGAAAAAAGGAAACACAGATGTGTTCTTGTAAATACTTCCTAGGAGAAATGTTTTGTGTAGAGGCTGTATGATGGGTCCTATCTGGGTTCTTGGATTCCGCCAGACTGTGTAATCTTGGGCAAATCATGTACCTCTCTGTTTGTTTCTTCATATTAAGACAGGAATGATGTATATCTCACAAGAGAGTTAATTTTAACAAGAGAAATTTTGAACTCCTGTCTCATAGAATAAATTTTGTTCTCACTTAACACTTACCCAAGTTCAATGTATTTTTTTTTTTTTTTTTGAGAGAAAACAGAAAACCCGATCATCATCAGGGTTGTCGAATTAGGCCAATATTCTTTCTTTACTTCTCCTCAGAAACTTTACTTCCTCTCTTAATGCCCAATGCTATTCCTTCTTAAGAATTATATTATCATTAAAATTACAGGTGTATAGAATTTATCAGTGGACATTTGCATCAGAGTGCAATTTGACAAGACTTAGCTCAAGAAAGGGAGTTGGGGGCAGGCCAGATGGCTCAGTGGGTAGAGGAGCTTTCTACCAAGCCTAACAATCTGAGTTTGACCCAGGGTACCCACAAAATAGGAAGAGAGGACGGATTCCCACGTGCTTTTTTGTAACCTCCACACCCCACACAATGCTCTCCTCCCATATACACAGTAAATAAAAACTGTGTTAGAAGAATTGGATGGTCCTACACCATTGGAGCATAGTCAACACTGGATTCCCCGGGAATAAAATAGGAGTAATGATGATGATGATAGAATAATAGTGACAGAGGCTTGAGGTCGGCAGGAGATGGGTGATAGGTTCTCGGGGGAGTAGAAGAGAGGTTGAGTGAGGCGAGTGGCTTGAGGTTTTAATAAGATCAAAATGCACTGGATACATGTGTGAAATTTTCAAAGAATAAATAAAAACATTATTTAAAAATGTTAAAAGGGATTTGGTTAGAGAAATATCAGACAGGTTTGTTAAGGGGTGACCTATGTGTGGACACAGCTGTCACTGATAGACAAGAAATGCAAAATAGTTTTTCAGCTAAGTCCTTCCATCTTGGAACACTTAGGGGATAATGAAGGGTTACATTACAGTATTCAGCCCCTGCATCGGGCATTCAGCAGTTCTCCATACCCCATCCCAGTGTTTGTGACCAGTGGCCGAGCTGCCTGGATTTAATATCTGCCCAGTGAAGTGACAGGCACAGCCCAGGGGACTCTCCTCTCATAGTCATTTTCTACAACCTGTTCTAATTCCCTTCATGAATTTGATTGCTGACATCAGTGATGTTCCAAGAACTTACTCCTTGCTTGGTTGGAGGAGCTCTCCCTGTAACACAAAGAGTTCAAAGAAGGGAAATCTTCATGAAGTCTGTTCCTGAGATTTGAAGTTTGTCAACAATTTCCTTAAAAGTCTCCTGGGTACATCTTCTGCAAGAATGTATCAATCCTCGCCCTGGGAGCTACTCAGCTGAGGTCTAAGGGGCGCAAATTATCTAGGGCATGTTTTTAGTTGGATGCAGGACCCCGTATTTCAGAAAACGCTAGAGCAGCAGTCGTGGCCACTGAGTACTGGAGAGGATTTTGTCTGTGTCTTATTATATTCTACTTATTCTGCTCTTGATAAGCCTATTTTATTAGTCTTAAAAGTAATTTTACATTTTTATTATGAGGCACAGAATATTGGACGAAGCAGCTGTGGAGAGCTGACTTTTGTCACATTTTCTGGGGCTCCTTTGTCCCACACTTTGTAGCTACAGAATTAATTCTTGGAAAAAATATGCATAAAAAAATTCAATCAGGGAAAGGAACCCAGTGACCTTTTTTTTGATGATTTGCTAATGAGTCTCATTGAAGCACAGATAAAAATCGACATTATCTGAGTAATTCATTTATATTTACTGACTGTTCAATTATTTTGCCAAAAAAACCCAAATCCGTTTGTATCAAACCAGCTCAAGACTCAGAAAGAAAGACTGGAGAGCAAAGAAGTGCATATGAATCTCCTTCGACAGAAAATTGCCCAGCTGCAGCAGGAGACGCAGGCACGCACAGCCCTGGCTGTGGAGAGGGATGAGGCCCATCTCACCGTCAGGAAGCTGGAGAAGAAGGTGGAGAGGATGCAGAAGGAGCTGAGCGCCTGTCGGGAATACAACACAGAGCTCAAAGCCCAATTGGCAGACACCAATGAACTCAAGGCAAGTGTGTGGCTCCTTTCCCTGTTACTGTCTGCCAATGCACAGAAGGAATGACAGCCTCGAATCAGGCATGGCAGTGTGTGCCCATGATGCCAGCACTTGGAAGGATGGTAGAAGCAGGTAGATCAGGAGTCTGGATCCACTCTTGGTTACATAGAGAACTGAAGACCAGCCTGGGTTATGTGAGACCTCAAAATAAAAGAGACAAAAAAAAAAAAAAGTGGGGCTGGAGAGATGGCTCAGTGTGTAAAGCCTCCTCCTGTAAGTGGTCTGACCAATGTCAGTGGCCTTTTCCTTCTCCCTGTATGGGATCCCTGGGGAAACTGCTATTTCTTTGGGTTCCACTGTTTCAATAGTCTGAAAGACTGAGAAACACAAGTATATCTTCATGTCCAGCAGGCCAGTTACACAAGTCTTTGTTAGATAAGAATTTGTTTAGGAGGGGAGGAGACAATAGATGCTCTATTTACTGAGAGTCAGAGTATTATCTTAGGGTTACTGTTGCTGTGATGAAACACCACAACAAAAAGCAGGCTGGGGAGGAAAGGTTTTATTTGGTTTCCATTTCCATTTCAGAGTTCATAATTAAAGGAAGTCAGGGCGGGAATCTGGAGGCAGGAGCTTGCAGAGGCCATGCAGGAGTGCTGCTTACTGGCTTGCTCCTCACAGCTTGCTTAGCCTGCTTTCTTATAGAACCCAGGACCACCAACCTGGGTGATGGCCCCACCCACAGTGATCTGGACTCTCTTCCACCAATCATTCATTAAGAAAATGTCCCACAGGCTTGCCCACAGCAAGGCTTCATCCTCTCTGATGACTCTAGCTTGTGTCAAGTTGACATAAAACTAGCCAGTAGAAAAACATATTGTAGAAAAGGCCCGCAGACAGGGGAAATGGACAGTTTCTGTTGTAGCTCATGTCTGACATATTCTGGATTTTTGCTTAATAATTTCCTTCTTGTTCAGGGGAGGTTTATTTATTTATTTATTTATTTATTTATTTATTTATTTATTTATCTTGTATGTAGGACTTCATTTGATGGGAAGACACCTATCCACATTAGCCAGAACAATCTGGTTTGAAATAGGTTTGGGCCCTCAGTGATAATTGTTGCATCTTGCTGGATGGTGGTGGTGGCACACACTTTTAATACCAGCCCTTGGAAGCAGAGTTCGAGGCCATCCTGGCCTACAAAGCGAGTTCTAGGACAGCCAGAGCTATTACATAGAGAAACCCAGTCTCCAAAAAAGAAAAAAAATAACTATAACGTCCCAGAGGCTGAGGCAGGAGGATTATGCATTTGAGGACATCATTGGCTACATAGTGGGAGTCTGTATAGGCAAAGCAAAGTGAAACAAAAACAAAAAGGCCTACCTATTTTTAGTCTCACCTGCAAAATCCTCCAGGAAACATCTAGAGCAACATTTCACCTAGTATCTGGACATCATGGCCCACCCAATGGTATAACATTAACCATTTTAATTCCTTTTGATGGGTGAACAATTATCCATTACATGGATGTACCACCTTCTGATTGTTCATTTAGCAATGAATGGACATTCAAATTGTTTCTACTTTGGGGCTGTTTCAAATAAAGCTGCTCTGGACATTTGTGTTCCAGCTCTCATGTACATCCCCAAGTCTGTTGCACACTAAGGCTGACAATCTTGACTCCAGGTTATCTGAGTAGCTCCTTGTAGGGCCCATGCATTAAGCATTCTTGAATTCTAGACCAAGAAAACACACACACATACAAAACCCCTTTCCAGATGAATTGTTAAATTTTAAATCATTGAAAATGATCTTGGCATGCAAACCTAAGTATTGTGGAAATATTTTTGAGAGGCAGAACTATTTTTGCATAGCTCTCCTTTCTGGTGTTAAATTTAGAATACTTTTTTGATGTCACTTACTTAAGACTACATAGATTTGCCAATTGAATTATACTTTTACCATTATGAAACCAAAACCGATTTAGAAATCAAAGGATTGAAACTCAAACTAAGAAATTAATGATATTAATTCACTATGACCTATGATGCTGTTTAATTAAAATCACCATTACCAAGAATGTATGGAGCCAACTGCAGCTTTTGAGTTTGTTCTGCCTGTGGATTTTCCCTGCATGATGGAGTGTGTTCTACCACATGGCCTTAAGTTTACATGAATGTATGATTTATGCATTAACTGAACCTTTGTTCTTTTCTCATTAACCTAGGATTGAAGTAGCATTACTATTTGGCACAAATATCACCTTGTAAGAAAATGCAGGCACTGAAATCTTGTAGCAGAATTCTAGAGGTTTTGTGTAACCTCTCTACAGCCAGCCACTTCACACCTGCCCCAGATATGATCAGTTTTTCTGACTATATTGAAACACCTCATAATGCCAGAGGCTCAGACAAGAAGGGTGTTAATTATTTTTTCATTGGAAAGAATCAAGGACCTGGGGTGGCAACTCAATGGTAGTGTGCTTGCCTTGCATGTATGGGCCTCAGGAAAATCCTCAGCATTGCTGGTGTGTGTGTGTGTGTGTGTGTGTGTGTGTGTGTGTGTGTGAGGGAGTGGGCATACCACATTTAGAAGGACCTCTCAAAGGTCGTCAGAAACCTGGTTTATTCTGATTTCAAATTGAGCATCCTAGCCAATGCCTTCATTCTCTTTCATCCCTAGGCCCATGTAGTTCCTGGGGCTCCTGGAGGAAAGCCTGAAAGACAAGCTGTTGGCTATTTTCTGGGAATGATATAACAGCTCTGTGTCTCCATTGGCCAGAACTTAGTCTCTTGACTTTGTTTAAATGTGGTCAGTCTGAGGAATAGGTCTTAATTCTGACCAGTGAGAAAGAATGGAAGACTAGATATCTGATGGAGCCTTAGCTGTCAGCCTGTAGCATGTAACCTAACCCTTGTAGGAGCTGTGGTCTAAAATCAGTTCCAAAACCCAGGGGAGAGCCATTAGTGTCTCCTTTGTGGTCTCCCAGAGAGGACCAGAGCACACAGCAGCCTTCAGCCACAGGCAAATCTGTCTTCTCTTTCTGACTTTCTCCATATATCCCCCATATGGAAGCTGCTCCCCATATTCCTTCCCCGTGGACATGGTTTCTACCTAGCCAGTGTAGCCCTTAGCCATATTCCTCAGAGTCAGCTCTGTTCTGCCGTGCTCCAGATCTTCCTAGATTGCTTTTCTCACTGTGCACAGTGAACTGGGCCTGAAAAGGCAGACCATTTGCTTTTTGGGGTGAGGGTAACTGTGCTGCCAGTTCCCTGAGTGTGGGCTGTTAGGGACAAGGAGGAAGGAGGGACCATACAGTTGAATGTTTCCCTAACAGAGTTGTGTCTTTTTGGACACAGCATCTGTTTTGGCCACCAGTATGCTCTAGAACAGTCTTTCTCAACCTGTGGGTTGTGACCCCTAAGGTGTCAAATGCTAAGACCATAGGAAAACACAGATATTTACACTATGATTCATAGAAGTAGCAAAATTAGTTATGAAGTAGCAATGATAGTAACTTTATGGTTGGGGGGCACCACAACAAAAGGAACCGTATTAAAGAGCCGAAGCATTAGGAAGGTTGAGAACCTCTGTGTTCTCATTGCAGCCCCACTTCATGTAGAGACTCATGCACCCCTGAGATTTTTAGTTACTGTCTTTAACAACTGCAGCTGGGAAATTAGACCCCAGGGTCAGCCAACACGTAAGATTAATCACTTTCCTGTCTGGGCCTTTGGCACTTAGGTAGAAGGGAGAATTGCCCACGAGATTGCACAGTTCTTTCCTGGGAAGCAGACAGCACACAGTGTTTACCACGAGTGGCACCCTGGGAACCTTCCCCATTCTAGCTGGACTCCCGGTGACACATCAATCTTTTTTATGACTAGTTCTGTCCTACTGGAGGGAAATTAGAGGCCAGTGGCTTGCTGAACTCTGGGTTGCTCTGAGAAGTTCCCTTAGGGGGATTAAGAAAACAATATATTCCCACCCTACTCCCAGGAATCTGCTGTTGGTTTGATTTTAGAATCTCTGTCATTCTTTCTGGCTCCCAGATCTGTCCTGGTGGCTGGACTTGGTGCTCTCTCCCTTAGGATCCAAGCAGTCCTTTATGTCAGGAGTGGTGATGTCCTCAGTGATGTGTATGGTTGACAAGGGCACAGCCATTTCAAGGGCCCTCATGCCTTGAAGGTAGGTAAAACCTTCCCTGGTGAGGGGCAGAGAGACAGGAAAGCCTTTCTGTGGTCCGAGTGTGAATTTTGACAGTGAGTGCAGAAATGTCCACTGGAGCTGTCAGAATCCCAAGAGAGTTTGTGTCACCCGTAGAGCCAGTTGAGTGGCTATGAAGTCAGGCATGACCGCCATTGGCCTCTTTGTGTTTAGAAAAGTATCTTAGTCTTCCAATGTCATAACAATACGCTACAAGCTGGATGGCTTATAAACAGCAGAAGTATATAGCTCTGCTGTGTAGATGTCTATAGGCTGGGAGGCCCTAGGGCAAGGCAGTGCAGATTTAATGTCTGTTTTATCTTGTTTCCTGGTTCGTATAAGATTCCTCTTAGCTATGTCCTCATATGGTGTAAGGGGCAAGAAAGCTCCCACCTGTTTGGGCATATGATGCCTGGTTTCTGTTTGTTATAGGGCATCGTATTCCCTGTTCTACTGTGTGATCAAGGCAACTTATAAAAGGAAGCATTTAGTTGGGGGCTTGTTTACAGCTCCAGAGATTATCATCATGGTGGGGAGTATGGTGGCGTGGCATGCAGACAGGTTTTAGAGAAGTTTCTGAGACCTTTCCATCCTGATTTCTGTAGGCAGAAAGAGAGACAGAGACAGAGAGAGACAGAAACAGAGAGATGGAGAACCTGGTGTTGGCTTGGGTTTTTGACATACTTCCTCTAACAAGACCACACTTCCTAATCCTTCCAATCCTATCAAAGAGTTCCATTTTCTGGTGACTAAGCATTCAAATATATGAGCCAATGGGGACCATTCTTATTCAAACTACACAGGTATTTATCCCCCTTGAAATGCACCTTATCACTTCTTAAAGGCCCTACTCCTTCATAGTGTGTTCTTGGGGGTTAAGGGTTAGGAATTTTAGAGGGCACAGTCATTCAAACCATAGCAAAAGCATTTTTTTTTTTTAGGAAATTGTTGACACTAGTTTTTAGTTCATGAGTTCATCAGCAGGTCTTTGGTGTGGACTTCCTTAATTTAGACTAACACCATAGGGTAACACTGTTTGTCCTGCTAAACATTCAAGAGCATCTCAAACAGTCACATTTCCTCCAAAGCATGTCTTGGAGTAGTTTCTAGCCATCTTGTTTTCTAGTGAGATATTGAGAACCTTAGATCAGGTTACCCCATGACACACATCAGCCCCTTAGTCAGGCTGGAGATGCACATAAAGGCCAGCACCAGGTGAAGATGCTAACTTCCTTATTTAGTACTGTCTCTCTCCTCTTTCTGTTACCATTCTGATCTGCAGCTCAATTCAGTTCTTCCCTGTTGTTAAGTTACCTCTTGACCCCCTGTGTCAGCTTTCTTGTCTCTGTGAGAGAATGCCTGATGCAAACAGCTTGAAGACAGGGAGAAGTATTTGGGCTCACAGTTTCAGAGGTGTAGCTCATAGTTTCTTAGTTCTGTGTATGTCTGTAGGGCATCGTGGTGTTGGAAGCTTGTAGAGGAGGGATTTCTCTACCTGTGGTGGATATGAAGTGGACTGGGAAGAGGGAGGGGACTGAGTAAGAGGTAGAACTTCGCAAAGCACACCCTCCAGTGACCAACTTCCTGTGTCCTCTGGAACTTTCTAGAGGAGTGCCATCACCTCAGAATATGCACTTCTGTGTTTTCTAACACAGTGTGTTACAAACTTATCCAGACAGTATTTAATTTCAGAGTATTTTTTAGCATACCCAATGAAACTCTGCACCCATAAGTTGTAACTCCCCACTCTTCTTTCCTCTACCCTCAGACCTTCTCTGTCTTTTTCTTAAGAAGATAATTGTGTGATTTGAGGCAACTGGCTTCATTCTCTTGTCACAATGTTTTTGGGGTTCATCCATGCTATAGCATGTCATAGCACTCCATTCTTGCTCTATATAATACATCTCAATGTGTGGCTTTACTACGCCTCCCCCCACCCATCAGTTGATGGACATTTGGGTGGTCACCACTTTCTGTGCTTATGAGTAATGCCTCTATGAATTTTGTATACCACTCTTTGAGGGAGGCATATGGTTTTACTTCTCACTGGCTTATAACTAGTGATGGAATTGGTGGATCATGTATTAGGCATTTTCAAAACTGCCTTCCATATTACTTATACTGTAATTTTATATTCCACCCAGAAGTATGGGAATGTTCTAATTCCCCCAGTTCCCTGCTAATTTTTGTAATTGTCTTTTTAATTTTAACCACCTTAGTGGACATTGTCTTGTAGCTTATTTGCACTTACTTATTTGGATTTTTTTTGAGGTAAGCTCTTAAGTCGTCTAGACTGATCTGAACTCACTAGATGGACAAGGCTGGCTCTGAACATCTGATCTTACTGTCTCCACTTCTCAAGTACTGGAATTAAAAGTACGCATCACTGTACTAATTTCATATCTGTTGCTCTGATAAAATACCCCAACTAAATGCAACTTAGAGAATAAAGGGTTAATTTTTTCTGAATTACAGAATAACATTTATTATAGAAATAAAGAATATATGCTATACAATATAGATATAAGGTAAAATAAAATATAATAAGTGAAAAATATTTGTAATTAACATAATATTGGAAAATAAAAGAACAAGAGAATTTTATAATAGGTTTTTCTTAAATATGGGTAAATGGAAGGAAGAAGGGAACATTCAAAAGGAGTGAGCAGGGACTTGTAAAGAGTTAATTTTATCTTACGATTCCAGGATACAGTCCATCATTGCAATAGCCCTACTTCTCTGTTCAATGTATAAGAAAAATGTTGAGCTTCTGGGATGATGAGGTCCCCAAACCACCTGATCCCAGCTTTTCCTCCTGTCTGCTTGTCTTTCATTCCCTCACTGCCCCCGTTGGGTCTGTCCCTGGAGCTGTGCTTGACCCAGCACTTGCTTACTTGAATTCTTTTGTAAGGAGCTATGGTGAGATTTCACAAACTCACAGTGAAGACGTTCTCCCATCCCAGGAGCCTCTTTTAGGGTTTTAAGACCCTGGGGTGAGTCTTTGCCCTTTGTCTGCACAGGATTCAGACAACTTTTGCCTCATGTTCATTAGTGGTTTCCAGGGACTCCACTGAATAACTAACTGCTGAGGGAGATTTCCCTCCCAGCAATGAGGGAGACTTGTTGACGGGCTCCCCTGTGACACCATTAGAAGAGTGGGAATTCTGCCACTGCTCTCACTTTTCTGCAAGGCGCAGGGGCCCACTGGTTAGCATAGACAGTCCCACTTGCTCAAGGCTTTGTTTTAGCCATCTCACTCCAGAGCCATGCTGTCTGCAACTTTATTGCATTAATTTCCCAAACAAGGGTGAGCTATCATTTAAAATTACAGTGACTGAGGTCATGCATGTCCAGCTTATGCTGTTCTGCAAGGTCTCTGTAGCTGCTTGGGATGGAGTCCCTTCTTTATTCATAAAATGGCTAAGTGGGTTCCATTGACTTCCCAGTTGTCTTGGTATACAGGATCTCCTAAAAAAAAACAAGGGAAATGATCCTCATTTTCTTGACTCTTTAGATTAAAACTTTGGAGCAGACCAAAGTCATTGAAGACTTAAGTAAATCCCGAGACAACCTGGAGAAACTGAAGGAGAAAGCAGAGAAAAAGCTCATGTTGCTCAAGTCCAAGCTGGATACTGCAGAGGAAGAGGCTAAAGCAGACAAGGGAAGGATGACGGCCATAATGGAGTTGGTCACCAGTGAACTGGAGACCCTGAAGAAGTCTCTGGAAGAAGCTGAGAGGCGAGAACAGCAGGTAGATAAAAATCTGCAGGTGGAATCCTTTTCAGGCCATGGCAGGATGATTTAGCTTCCATGAGAATGGGCGTGCCATCCTGTGCAAGGCTACACTCAGCTCCCCTGTGCCATTTTAATTTTAGTATGCTGCTGTCAAGGAGAGCATTATTCATGCATTTCCCGCAACACAGTTTGTAAAGATTTCTATATCATTTCAACAGATCCGCCCACTTGCCAGCATCTTCTTGGGCATGCCAATAATCATTCTGAGTTTCTTGGCCAAGAAAAGCAATCCATGCTTGCATGACATAGACTGTAAGAAAGAGAAAAAAAATTAATGTGCTTATCAAAGCCACAGAAAGCCAGTGTGAAGCTGGCTTCTGGTGGTGATGAGATGTTTTGATTGTGTTTTATAATTGCCTCTGGAGCTTGCCTCATCTCACATCGTTTAACGTTAAGCAGGGCTAGGAACTTACAGAGAAGCTTTATCTCCTGCAGAGATCAGTTGCAGGAAACAGCCTCCAATCTCAAACAGTGGCACCCAGACTTCATGGTTGACCAAGCGCAGATGTAGGCCATAAAAAAGGTACACATTGGCTGGCTGGCTGCAAGGAGGAGCATTTTATCTCCTGAGCACATCAGGTCAGACATAAAGAACTCTGTCCCGGGCAGTGTGACCCCTACTGCCTTTGACTAGCATGTCACTTTCTGAAACTGAAAAGGGCAGAGAATGGACTCTGCCCCTAGGATTTTTTTTTTTTTTACCCCTACTCTGCTTTGACTCATGTGTCAGGCAGAGCTGGGAAGAGCCAAACTCAAAGAGCAAGTGTTCTCAGGAAGAAAACATCTCAGGAATTGTGAGTTTTGGCCACATTAAAAAGGGTGGGAAAGTTTGAGAGGAAACTCTTACATTGGAGAGGCAAGGCTGGTGCCTTGTTCTATTTAGGTGATTTGACAAAGCTTGGGAAACAGAGTAGCTCATATGCAGGGCAATTATTTCTCTTAGGTCTAAGGCTGGAGAATCAAGGTCAAGGCGTCAGTAGACTGGGTATCAGGTTTATAAATGGCATCTTCACGAACCCTCAATGGTAAAAGTTCTCTGGAGCTTCATTGATAAGGGTGCCAGTTCTGTCTTGGAGACTCCACCACAGTGATCTTATCCTAATTAACTCACAAGGCCCCTCCTTCCAGTACCATCCCACTGAGGATTATGTTTCAACATATGCTTTGGGGGTGGGATGTGCAAGTAAGAGAGGCTTTCAGTCACCCATGCTGGACCATCCTCGGGAAGGAAGTTGGGGATAAATGCTTGGATGGTGTTCTGATGGCACCCCATCAGCAGGTTGCATCCCATCCTTTCTGAAATGGAAGGTATTTAGTGAGGGCTTGTCTCGATGATACCCCTGTCTTGCCTGTGTTAGCCTAGGGACACAGAAACCACCCTAGGAGAACATGAAGAGAGGTGATGCCCATTCTGACCATTGCCCCTGGCTTCTACTTCTCCCCTTCTCCATGGACACCAAGCCATCTCAGATGAGCCCAGTATTAGGACCATATATCAAGGCAGCAGTCTTTGTAACGTAGTTTGAGAAGGACAGAGAAGCCCTCCTGTGTTCACTAGCTCATTCTTTCTCTTTGAGTGTCAGAAATGCATTGTCTGGTTAACATCCCAATGCAGCAATGCTTATCATTCACGGATAGTCTCACACCAACGTTTAAATAGCACATTTGGGGCCCCAGAGGATGTACTCAGTCATCATTTCCCTTGTCTGGGATGCCAGAACAGACTTAGGGAGGTCAGAGTCTCAGGGATGATTATTTCCCGGGTTTCTTGACTCAGTAGCGAATACACACATGGCCACTTGACTCACAAGAGATTATGAGATTATGGAAGCCTGGGGAACCTGTAGGGATTTTAGAAGTCGTTTAGCAGGCAATCCTACTTATTCATAATTTAGGCTAGAGTGGGTAATTTGCCTACCTCACGCAAATCTGTGTTTTCCTCTTTTGCTATTGTTGTTGCATTTGACCTAGCAACGGTGATGTGTTTTTCTTTCCCAGCTAATATATCTCCGCTTAATATTTGCAGCTGGTGGAATTCAGGGAGGTGGTTTCCCAGACACTGGGCTTAAACTTGACCTCTCTCGCAGTTCCTGATTATGAGATCATCAAATGTCTGGAAAGAGTGGTCCATTCACACCACCATCATCTTGTTACCTGTGCCTGCCTCAAAGACACGTCTGCCGAACATGACAGTTGCCCGAAGTGCTGCTTAGAACTTCTACATTGATCACTTGCTTCCTGGACGGGGCACAATTCTCAAGTTGTGCAGCTCAAAAATTTTCTCATAGTTTTGAAATTTGGTCAGCTTGTGACAGTTATCTACCTTGATGACATAATGATAACATACCGTGGGAAAAGGGGTCTCCAAAAGTGTCATTGCTAGGGCCAAAGAGATGGCTCAGCAGGTGAAGGTACTGGCTACCAAGCCTGACAACCTGAGTTTAGTCCCACGTGGTAGGAGGAGATAATTGACTCCTGCAAGTTTTCCTCTGCCCCATACACAATCTGTTATACAAGTTTACACACACACACACACACACACACACACACACACACACACACAGCTTACACACTCACACAAAATATATAAATGTTAAAAGTGCCAGTCCTAGGTCAATATTCAGCCTTAAAACCACCTATTACTTCATTAGCTAGTGCACTGAGACCCATAGGAATACCCAAGGTTCATGCCTAGATTGGGCTGTATGAGCTCAGAGTTTAGAACTACAGACCTTCTGACCTGGAACATTCCTGATGGCTTCACATCTTAAGATAATCCTGTGCAGGTCTTCCAAAAATATTACTCAAAATTATTTTTCTTATCGGTGTGTGTGTGTGTGTGTGTGTGTGTGTACAGATGCCAGCAGAGACCATAAGAGGGAGCCAGATTCCTTGGTACTGGATTACATGCAGTTGTAAAGCATTTGATGTGGGTTCTAGGAATTGAACTCAGGTCCTCTGTAAGAGTAGCAAGTGCCGTTAGCAACTGAGCCATCTCTCCAGCCCCATATCTATCTATCCTAAATACATACAGTTTGACACATAATACTTGTAGCTGTTTATAGATTTCTGGATGACACTCCAATCCATGCATTCAATGTGTGGTCATGAGATCAGGGTTAAACATGATGAAGTCTTACTGTCTTACTCGTTCTCCAGGCCCCGAGACAATTGTGCTAACTAACTACATGGTTAGTGTGGGAAACAGGATGTACACAGCAGAGTCTATGCCTCTTATACTCTGCATTTCAGGTTCTGCTCAGTTTTGAGCCTGAGAGGAATTGTTGGCATACAAGAAGGAAAGCAACCCTACAATCAGGGGCAAAGTCTAAAAGTGGCAGACAGTGACTCATTTGAGTAACCCTCACATAGGTCTGAGGGCCGGTAAGGAGCACAATTGTTTTTACTGCTGCTCCCAGGTTATGAATGGTGGTTTTGAAAATTTGAACAGGGCTGACCTCAGTTTTTATTTCCTTGTGGTAGAGTTTTTCACTGAACCTTGAGATAGGCTGTCAGTAACCAAGCTCTGCCATCTACCATCCTTCTGTCTCTCCAGGAAGAGTTATAATGACACACCCAATTACACCCAGACTTTGACAGATCCAGCTGGGATCTGAACTCAGGTCCTCAGGCTTGCACAGCACTCTTACCCACAGAGCCATCTCCCCAGCTTCATCTCGTATCTTTATATGCCTCATTAAAGTAAACAAACAAAAATTTAATGCCTCACAACATTGAGAGAAAATGAGAAATCTACAGCTAAATGTTAAGTCCGAGCCACAAGTAAGGCATAAATTGATTCATGACAACAAGGGATTATGGAGACCCATCGACCAGTTGCAATGCTGGGAATGAGGCAAGACATTGGTTCGAATAGGGTAAAAAAGCATAAACATTCTCAAAACAACTGAATAAACGGTTCATCCCATGTGTTTTAAAAGTTACATGGATTCTCTCATGCATAGGATGCACACTTGTGATCTCAGCCCCCAGAGGCTAAGTGGAGAAGATTGACATATGTTTGAATCTACGTTGGGCCTCATAGTGAGTTTCAGGCCAGCCTGGACTACAGAGTGAAACCCTTTCTCAAACCAAGCTAACAAGAAATCAACTGGCTGAAAATCCAATTGGGCAATCCTCCTGCAACCCCAAACAAAACAAATAGCCATATTAGGTTGGTTTTAATTCAAGCATTTACCTCCTCATGCCAGACTTTGGTCTGTCTAAAGTGATAAATGTGTTATGTTATTTCCCCTTTGATTGGTCATTAGTTACATGTAGGGGTCATATAAGAGACTTAAAAATAACCCATATTGGTTATAACTATACTTTACCATGTGAAATTACATTTTGTTTATCCAAGTGTATGGCACAAGAGTGTTAATAACAATTCTTGATATATATTAATAATTCAGTATGTTTAAATATCTACCTTAGAGACACTATGTGGTAAGGATATGTGAGATAAGCATAAATAAATTCTGTGCCTACAGATAGCTCATGTACACAGTAACTGTTTGTTATTTGGACAAACTGAATACGTGTCAGTTAAGCCATTTCTGGTTGTTAAAATGCTGGTTGTTTGCTTGCCTTCCCTTTGTTCATGCATTCCAGAGTTGGCAGGCTCACTTCACATTTCTGTGCTGTCTTGTTTTTCTGTAATATCCATGTATATTTTATATTGTCCAATAAAATACATTAGATTAATGTGGTTTTTAGATAAGGTCTTCAAATATTTAATACTAACTCGTCTAACAAATACACTCTCTGGGAATTGCTATTGAGGTTATTGTTCTGGTCACTGAGACATCTAAATATTTTCAGAAAATATCTCCCACACAAAAAAACTGTTAGCTTGAATCCATCTACATTTCCAGCCTATTCTTCTAGTCTTCTTCAGAAGAGTGGCCAGTGATCTAGACCAGGTGGTGATGGGCTGAAGGGCTGTTGAGGACAGCTGTGTTGTTGATGCCATGACAATGGCATGCAGAAGAAGCATCTAAGTTTTATTGGGGTAACATTTTATGGTTACTAACCTTTAATCTGGAAGGCTTCTTCCAGTTTGTATAGTAGTATTTAAATGGAGTTGCCTTATAATGGAGCAACAATGTTCCTACTAGATACCAAAGACTAGGAGATAAAAAGCCTAGCATTAGGAATGGGTTACCTCTTAAGGAGTTTCTGTCCAGTGAGGTCTACTATCAATGATCTGGGTTATTCCCCAGTACTTGATGGTAAGATCCTATTGAGTCATAGGACATGGGAAAATCAAGGTGGTATTCAACTTGACCCTTCATCCCCACTGGTTAACTTTCATAGTGCTGGAAGATGCTATGCACACTACTAGAGGAGAACAGTAATCTTATTCAAATGTGAACCCCATGAGCTACCATAATGACCAGCCTGGCAAGACATGCCTACTGGTGCAATAATGACATGAATGTCATGGGACTAACCAAGCACTTTCTGATTCAATTTAAGGGGCACTGTGCAAGATGAAAACTGTGTGGCACTGGTATCAGGGAATATGGCCTAAGCCCCCGGGGAGAAGCTACTACTGTTGTTCTGATAAATGAGCATAATCTATCATTATAGATTAGTGCATCTCTCCACCTTTATCAGGGAAGCTTCTTTTTGCAGTAGGTGAAGGCTAAGGAGACCCCAAGCTGGTGCAAGTGCAGAGAATGAGAGACTGTGGAGTGCTCGGGCCTTAATGGTGCACCAGTTTCACATTCCTTTTTCCCAAGGCTCAGTAGTCACTGTAGAAGAGGGTGTGGACAGAGTCTCAGAGCTAGAAGCAGTGGACGACTACAAGGAGATAGTGTTTTCCAGATGTAACAGAGCAATTGCGCATATCAGTTCACAGAAGATGAGACAGCATGCACAAAAAACCCATGCAAGCCCAAGCCAGACAAAGTCCCTGCATGGAAAGGGAAGTGGAACATAGATGATGTCTCACTGGCACTGAGGAGCTATTGACAACTGTTGACTGCTGAGAGAGGGACAGTTGGTTTTCTTGGAGTGTGGTTCCTGGTAGGTTGACCATACTCCAGTGGAAGGCCAGATATTCAAGAATACATATCCACACAGCCCACACTGATGGGAACATTGAAATCTGTACCACCATCCCTTACCCCAGTCCTTCACTCCATACTCTCAGATAGCTGTTCTTTACATCTGAATTTCACTGGCTCCATTTCTTCCTCCTTGCCTTGTCAATCTTCACTCCATCTGGAGCCAGCCTAGGTCTCATGGTTCATTTCTCCAGTCATTCTCTTTCTAGCACCCTTGACTTATTCCCTTGCTCTTCCGTCCTGAACTTTGAGTTAGTTCCAGATACCAGTCTTTCTGCTGATTTATCTGCCCCATTGAATGAGGCTGGAGAAAATCACATAAAATCGCAGTTAAGTGGCATCCAAATCCATAGCCCTTGATCTCTGCAGAGCCCTCTGTGCCAACTGGTCAGCCTTACACTGTTTTCCTGGTTGGATCTCACTGCCATTTTCTGTAACAACTATTGAAAATATTCGTTTCCTCATAGTCTTTATCCCTCTCTTCCTTTTTTATTCTCGGGGGTATAATACTCTCTGATTTCACTCAGAAAATAGAAGCCATTACCGGAACCACCCTGGCTACCACATCCTAGTAACACTTAGTGTGTACGTACTTCCTTCTTCCTGGTTTAGCCGGGGCACTCTCACATCCTTTGCAACCCATTCCCACCAGCTGATTGATTCTATTTCAAATGTTTCCATCCCCCCTCTATCTGTAGCTTATTCTCATTATATTTAAACATATTCATTTCTGTCCCTTCTTAAAACACATTGTCATTTTCCCTTTGAACCCCTGCTTCCCTTTCTTCTGTATGTTTGAGCCTCTTGAAGGTGTCATTTATACTTTGCCTTTCTGGCTTCAACTCACATTATACCAACATGATCCTGCCACCTGGCTCTGGCTCCATGCACCCAGCACCAACATCCTGGCTGACAAATCTTTGATACTTCTGAAATCCTTATCTCACTTGAACTCTCTGAAGCGTTGACCACCATTTGCCCTTTCCACTCTCTTCGACTTCCATACTGTGACAGTCAACCCATTTTCACTACAGAGGTGGGTACCTCTGTGGGCCTGACCCAGGCCCCTGGAAGGTTATAAGAAAAAAACTGAGATGAGAGATTCATGGAGGACAAAGTTCATATGAGTGCCAGTGAGGAGCTTGACCTCATAGTCAGAGCTTTGTGGAGAATATTAAGATACTCCGGAAACCTGGCAGCAGTAGACTGCCCTAGGACTAGAGGAATCCATGAAGGGCCCTGGTACTTTTTTGTCACCAGTTGGTCCCAAAGTTCCAGGTTTCCTTTGATCCTGTCACAATGGTTCAACCCTTCTCAGTTCTGGTCCTGCCACTTCAGCCAGTATCTATCACTGTCTATTTCTCTCATTGCCTCAGGATTCTGCTATTGTGGCTTACCCCCTTGTTCATATTTTTCTAGCATGTTCTGGATATACAGTGTCTTGCTGCCCCTGTTCCCATATTCAATGGGTCTTGCTTTCCTTCTCCATGTCCCCTCTGGAGACCCTGGTTTGGTGCTCTGTCACTCTTGAATATAAGTACCCCTGATGAAGAGAAACACCAGTGACAAACCTGTAGATAGACAGTCCTTAGACAAGGCACCTGTTTCTGGTCCAGTCCACAATGGTGACAGTGGAGTATTATGCCTGTCTCCTGACTGGGAATGTTCCAGGAGAGTCTGCCCTTTGCCTTCCTTTCTTACACTCCAATGCATTAGCTTCACCATGTCAGGTAAACAGTCTCTTTATGCCTTGTCTCCATCTATAAAATGGATATTCTACCTTCTTCTTTTGGGTTGAACTTTGTCCTGCCAAAAGATGCTAAAGTCCTAACCACAAAGTGTCTGTAAATATGACATTATTTGGAAATAACGTATTTATAGATAATCATGTGATGATGTCATTAATGTGAGTGCCAATTAAAAATGGTGGTGCATGCCTTTAATCCTAGCATTTGGGAGGCAGAGGCAGGTGGAGCTCTGTGATTTCGAGATCAGCCTGGTCTACAAGATCTAGTTCCAGGATCGCCTCCAAAGCCACAGAGAAACCCTGCCTTGAACCCCCCCCCCCAAAAAAAAAGGCACTTGCCTTTCTAGGAAAATATGGACATGGACATAGATACAGATACAGAGGGAATGTCATACAAAGATGGAATTAGACATTAGAGTGATAGTTCTACAGGTAAAAGAAACCCTTGTCAGTGAGCTAGGCAAGTGTTTGTACCTCTGGGCTACATGGTTGGCCCTGAAGTTCTAGATCTGCTCAGAGGTGCTGGCTCATGACAACCCACAACTAAGTCCCTTTCAAGGACTTGCATTTTGCTGTTCCTTAGCAGACCCTTCACGAGGACAGCTCTCATCTAGTGACTGGTCAATGTAGGAACACACAGGCATGGTATTTGTCCCTAATGCAGGATACTCTGTGTAGGGGACACCTTAACCATGCCTCCTCAGGAGACTGCGAGGTACTGATGCTGGCCTATGAGCCAGGGAACTACTAACACTTTAATTCGGATCGAATCCAGTGTGGTCCTCCCAGGTCCCAGTCAAGATCTGCAGTTCTCCCTCCCTCAGCGAGAGCTACAAACCAGGCCAACTGTTAAGTAAAGCAATGGGTGAGGGGGTGGAAGCTAGCGGAAGTCACAGAATGTGGAGAACCTTGACTGGGAAGTGCGGTTGTCCCTGTACTGAATTCACAAACAAACGAGGAGCGACTAGAAGAACATCCAGTTCATTGTGGAGAAAACAAAAAAGAAGCCAAAACCAACAACTCCCAGAGTGAAACACCCCTAGGAAGAGGCAGATTGCTGATCGGGGTGGGGGTGGGGTGAACGTGGGGGCGTTCACTTGCTCCGGAAGTACTGTTTCGTTAGCCTCCGGTCTTCCGGGGCAGATGTAGCAGCTGTAGGGAGGGGAAGCCATTTATTTGTTTTTGGGAAGAGTAAGGAAGAAACCAGGAGAAAATGGAGGGGAAATAAAGAAAAAATAGAAGGGCTCAGCCCCTTTCCTCTGATCTGAAGATAGGAAGCAGTTTCGACTGGCCGGTGAGGTCCCGAGGGCCCAGAGATGTTCTTCCCGTTGAGCACTGTGCAGCCCCAGGTTACAGTTCCTCTGAGTCATCTCAGCAATGCTTTCTACTCACCAAAAAACCTGTCTGTTTCTGTCAATACATTTGCTTCTCAAAAACAGCATCGAGATACACAGTTCCTGAGCATGACACTCCCAGTAGTGAGCCTGTACTTAATTAAGGGACCTTGGATTATCTGAATTAAAAATTGGACAGATTGATCGACTGGCAGAAAAAATTAATTTCTGAATTTCATAAAGACAAAAGATTTACTTCCCATTGGCATACATCTCATGTCTTGGCACAGTCCTTCTTCGAAAATAAATATGGTCACTTAAATATGTTCAGTACACTATGTTCCTCTAGCTTGTACAGACAACACCCAAAAACTCTTCGAAGCATTTGTTCAGATCTTCAGTGTTTCTAGTTTTCATACAGTCTTGGGGTTTTAAAACTTTGAAATCAAGGACACCGTGGTTGTGGTCTACTTCAGAAGGATTAACAGAAGCACAGAATATAGCACCATCACTTGTGAAGGGGTTTCTTTTGCGGGACAGAGGAACAGGTCTTGAGAGTTTGG